TCAGCTGCTCCAATGGAACATACGTGCAGCCGCACACACGATCCGCGCCAATTTCGCGTTCTGCTAGCAACACGGCAAGTAAAGTGGCGGCGAAACTGTACGCGGACAACACGCTTACAATCGAAAAACTAGGACGCGTTGGGATGCCTCTGGGAACTATGCCATCTGGTGGAAAACGCTATGTTGATAACCCTCACAATAGGCGCCTTGGACGTGCAGGAAAACTCATTTCGCCAAAAAGGTTCAGCAGCAAAAATCATGGCAGGAAACACGGTACAGGATATAATCAGGTTCATGAAAGGACATGGCCTGGCATTGAAGTACGATATTTACCACTCAGCCGCGTAGGAGGTGGCTCAGCACTAGTTAGAACTTTTAGAAGAAGCATGGAGAAGAACTCAGTTTCGAACCACAGCTCTAGCCATACAAGATTCCATACCAAGACCTAAATAGAGAAGCAGGAGAGATTGGGAATAGAATGGTGGACTTTGCACGCTTGGGTGTTTTGCAGCTTGTTGAATGAAACAGTGCCTATAACTGTTTATACCGCATAGCGAATTCAGTGTCAGGAGGACAAGCGAGATTTGACAAAAGAGATGAAGATCCTAGTCAGCGCACTCGCACTCACCCAATGCATCGCGAGGTTGTTTGGTGCCGTCTTGAGAGCGGTGTCTTGGATAGTGATGGAGTACTGTCACGCACGCGTTATCACGCTCTAGTTCAAGACGACTCAGAATTTGACGACGAAAAAGACAGAAAAAGATTGGGAAAAGAAGAAGAAAAAGATGTGATCTCAGCTGACCAGCGCCCGGCAATCTACCTCTCTGTCACACACCCGCGCGACAGAACGAAATTGGCCGATTGCGATATTAAGAGTCAAAATGTGCTGCTAGATATGGATGACATGCCAGCTGTCTGATTTTGGGCTTAGCTTGATAAAGAAAAATTCAGACGCCAATCTCGATCTTCAGCTGCACCACATCCTGCCCGAGGTACTCCGCGTACTATCTGCACCGGACGCGTCCCTGCCGTGGAGAACTTCTCACTACACAGCAATTTTCAAAAGCAGACATTATACGCCTAGCCCCGTTTGTGTTTTGAAATAGTCACTGAGGAAGAGCATACGATGGGCTCGGTTATACAACGGAGCTCAAGTGTTGTAAGGGGAACGTTGGCGTCCTAAAGCTGAATCAGAAATTGCTTCTCAGCACGCGCTCTCCAGCGCTTCCACTTCGAACGCGTGTTGCGGATTCAACCGAGAACGAGACGTCCACGTTCCATCTCAACTTGTTGATCAGTGGAGCAAAATAACTGATTGCTTGCATGAACAAAGAACTTGACAATGTCAGCTAGTTTACTTCGCGCTGCAACTGACTCATTGCATAGCTAATGTAGTAGTTACGTCATGATTAACTTTCTTCACTACACAGTGATTTTTTCTTCATATCTGGTTAATGTCATTGCGCATAATTCTAGACGTGCATGTGTGAACTAGGTCACATAATCGCACTGTGTGCTACGCATGTGCCTTGTATTATTATGAAGGCGTCTGGCTACAATAAAATTGGACATGATACGCCACTCAAATACACCGTCCTCTCTGCATTTCGCATAAGTCCCAAGTATATTATATAAGAGTTCTACTTTATTAGTAAGTTCTCTTGTACAGATGACCCAAGTAGTTCAATTTCATTAACCGCTGGCAGTACAAGAACTTCTGCCAGTTTCCTCCACGAGTATTCCACTTTTCAAAACAGACTTCACTGGCATAAAAACCTCTGTCATACACTCTTGAGGAGGGGTCCAGTTCTCTACACTTTGTGGCGTAAATCCCATTTAGTTCCCAACCCTTGAAACCAAGCCCAAGTCCTATGTCTCTCCACTTCACCTTTACTCTAACACCAACTATATTGATCAGATCAACCAGCTTTGGTTCTGGGAATCCAACAAAGTCTGTTGAAACAAAAGAGATTATATGTAATAAACCTCGGTGGTCAGATAACTAGATATTACAGATACAAATTTACTTCAGGTTGATATTTCCTTTGATCCTGTGTAACAAGATTACATATATGAACAATCTCCACATGTGAAGAAGCATGCTGTTAATCTTGCATGTACAGTAAAGGTCGCAATATGCACAATGCATGCACCTTTGTGCTTTCGAGACGCAACGTATAAAGTATCGGTCTTGGCATGAAAATACGATTGCATAAAGTTTAAGCATCCTTGAAATGAGGGGGGAATTGAATTTATCACTACAGATGCTGGCATGCTTACCATTTTCTCCACTATCGTCAACAATAGAACCCCCTGGCCCTATGGTTTGACACATATTATGGTCATAATCCATAAGAAATATTCAGATCTTCACTCACCATTATCTCTGTCAGTGCACACCCCGTGTCTGCAGATGATATAATAATTATACGTTACACCTCTGAAAAGAACTTCTGGATAAAGGACACCTACATCTAGCGAAAACCGCCGTAATGTAATATGTATACATTAAACGTCTCTGAATAAAGGACACTTTTGATGTCCCCTGTGTCCCTTATTAAGAGGTTTCACTGTAGTTCATGAGAAATAAGGCTAACATCGTACCCATGGGAGTCTGCTCTTCATCTGCAGCATCTGTGTGTATGTGTGTCATACATCAGTGGCCATAAGTCCAAATTCTCATTTGGTATCCATACCTTTTGAGTAAAACAAGACAATGTTGGTTTTGTCACAATCAGACAGCTCAATCGGAAGCTGTGTTGGTCCTACATATTTATTGGCTCTTACTTCTTCCGGTATACTGTTGAACATAATTATGCAAAATAACAATAAAGCCAAGCATGAAATGTGATACTTACAGATAGTGCATAACGCTCTCCTTGTCGTATTTGCTCTTCTGAGAGGCTCCCCCGGCAAGCGCTGCCCACTGCACACGAATTTTCTTCTCAACCTGTTCAGAGGTGAAACCAGGATAACACTGCCTTAAATGCTCCCTGAGCTTTCCAGGGTCGGTCAGCGGCGGGGCATCGGGGTGCTGATGCTCATGTTTCAGACCGAGAGCATGCCCAAACTCATGTCGAATGATGCGCTTGTAGAAGGAAGGGCAATTATCTGGTGATTTGAGATCCAGCCACATTGTGGGATCTCCTGCTTTGACCCGAGTTGCAGCAGTACCAACTTTAGAGCGTGGGCATCCAGAATCTACTAGCAGAAAGAATGCAGTTTTAATATACAGTGTTTATGGTCCGTATGATGTTTGTGTTGTGTGGGTCCCACAGAATCACCACAGATTTTTGTGAACAAGGGCAGTTGACATGCACTGTTCATGGACATGTGAATAAATCTACCATGTACACAAGAAGCCTCAGTCTTGGTACTCAGCATAACGATGACACTTATGTGAGCATGTGCATATTATACCCACGTGTGAAAACTGAGTATCTTTGTTTGTTGTAAAAATTGCTGTTGTAAAAATTCCTGTATGGCCTTGTTTCATAAGAAGAAAAAACAGATCTAGGTATGCATAGATTAGTATTGTGTAATTACCAATAAACTTCACTCTGATGTCAGCGATGTCATCTGCACCACATGGCACAAACTCTGGCACAACATCTTTGCCTTGCTCGACCCCACATTGATGCCACTCATTGGCTATCTTGAGGATCTCTTCTTCAGTGATATGACCACGTCCATCATTAGGCCACGCTGGAATCCTGTCGTCTAAGAAACTCACTTTTAGCGTCTTCCCTGCCAGCCAGAGGTCTTCATCTGTTAGAACCCATAATTCATCTGCTCTGCCGTCATCTTTCTCAACCAGAGTCATCCAGTCAGTGTAGCACATCATGTCTGTTTTTGTAAGGGAATGTTGCAGTGCTGACAATACCCTTACTCCCACATGACTAATATGTTGTTTTGACTGCTGATATGTGGCTACTCTATGACTACCTTATCAGTTATGTGTGTGGGCTCAATTGGAGGGTAGGGTACACAGTATCAGTGCAGTCGGCATGTTTAACGAATTCTCAGTAACTAGAGGCTCTCCTGCATAAGCATTGGCTATAGTATAGAGATCTGTGCCTGGGCCATACCAACTGCTTCATTTTCTGGTGCCTCTGCAGAACCTGCGACAGAGAATAATAAATACTTCAGTAAGACTTGGTCGAGGGGTTCTATCACCGATCTATCTAATGCTCTGTGCACCGCAGTACAAAAACACAGTGTTGCACATTGTATTATGAAGTGTTGTGCAACACTCTAGTAGACTGACCTGAACTATCGCTTCCTATTACTCCTGTAGAGCCTCCACCGGCCATAGGTCCTGTAGATAGAAAAGCACAGCTTATCCTTTAATTAATCAAGAGCCTGCCCATTCTTACCTACACTAAAACCCATCATACACCATAGCATAGCTACGTAAGTACGCAGGTGATGGCAGGGAACAGAATTCCTCTTGCTACATAAACATTTATATAGTGTAGCTACATAATCAAATTTGTTTTACATATACAGCTACAACAGGGGCAACTTGTCAAGAAAAACTGTATAAAAATAGAGAAAGGCTAAAGTTCTACACACTTGTCTGTGGCGTGTTTTGACGTTGGCTACGTACCGACTGTGCCGCCGCCGACGGAGCCTTTCAACTTTTTCACAAGCTCACTGTAGGCTGCATCCCGGGAAAAAATAGCGACAAACTTATCGAACCACTCTCTCTTGTTGTGCGCATTTTCTATTTTTGTGTACACGTCATCCATCAACAAGCCGACTTGTTTTGATGCAACAACTCCTGTCATTCCAAGTATCTCTTGGGCCTTCGCGCGGGCGATGAAATTTTTCTGGACCAGGTTGTTGGCAAACCATTGCAAACTGTTTTTAACAGAATTGGTTATGAAATCATTGTTTTCATTCAGCGCCGTGATCTCGACTGGCTGCTCGTCGTCTGCCATCTCGAACGAAAAACGCCTGTGCAACAAACTAGGGGCGCGTCGAAGATCTTTTGCGCATGCGCAGTATTTTTCAACAATAATAATAAATAACTGTCATATATCGTTAGCTACGCCATGGTGGTTCAATTCCTTGAGAGCTTTCCTCAGGTTCTCCCACGTTGCTCCTCCACTGTAGTCCTCTGATGTCAGCACACCATCTTCCCCCCGAATCCAGTCCCGGATCAACCTTTCAGAGTATTCAGCTCTCGTGCTGCCGGAGTAGCTATTCTGTACAGTTGAGTGATAGAGTCCCAGCTCCTGGAACAAGTCCTTCAGTTCCTCTCTGTCCAGATGCTTCAGACAGCCTTTAGCTCTGCGCACATCTCTATCAATATCTTTTGGGAAAGATAATACACAAGACGGCAATTCTTTTGCTCTGCCTTGACAGTAGAGCTTCCAAATAAAGGTCAGACTGGAACTAGGCAAACTTCCCTTTCTACAGAGGGATTGTAGTATTTACTACAACTTGTTCGAAAAGTGTCCTAGATTCTTTGTGTGTGGTCTAGAATGCAGCATTATTTCTAGTACAACTTCTCAGTATGCATTCCTCCATATAGTGATACTCACATACTTAGTTTCCCACTCCTTGGAGTGGTGGGAGTGGTGGAGGAGAAAGGTGGAGAGGTTTGTGGAGGAGGAGTAGCTTGAGCAGTAACTTGTGCTGCAGGAACAGCTTGATCTATAATATTATGGTATATACAGATAGTGGGACTATGCACAGAGCCAGAGTTATTACAATAGAGTATAACTTTCGGTTTCATAAACATTGCAGCATACATTCTCCAGAGGCTATGGAATTGAAAAAGGCACAACCCTCGCTTCCTCTACCAGCATATCTCACTGCGGAAAAAACGAAGAGCATCTTCAAGAATCACAAGTCTGCTGTCATGCCGTGTCTTCACTCACCGTAGAGCTTGGCTATTTCTCCAGCTACCGCCTCCTCGCCGATGTCCTGTCTACGGAGAATCTTCAGGAACGTTTCCAACCACTCCCGCCCCTTCACCGGGTCGTTACCGCTGTCCACCTTCACCTCCACGGCGCTGAGAGCTTGCCCGGCCTTGACCGCGGCGCTAACTCCACCGGTGGTGATTATGCCGTCCAACTGGTTGGCAGTAATGAATTTTTCCTGCTTGAGGTACTGTAGGGTTTGGGGTAAGCTTCTCTGAACCGCTTCAGACGCCGCGACAGAGTTTTCTCGCAAAGCGCGTCGAGCCGGAGTCTCTCCGTGGTTCATCACTTCTGCTGACAAGATCCAGCAGAACAACAAGCCCTGCCCCATAAAAATATCTAGCTGCCCATGCGCAGTGCGACTTCAAAAACTGCGCATGCGCGTCCGCCATCTGGCTTGCCTTTTTCAAAGCTCTCTCTCGGCCATTATTCGGCGACAGACTCTGTCCACACTGTAATCTATCAATCGAACAAGATCGAACTTACCTGGAACATCTGGTACAGACCCACCAAGAACTGCAGTTGGGATCTGTGGAGGTAATAACTGATACCCTTGTATCTGCCTCCCCATCTATCATTTGTATTGGGAGAAAATTGCTCTCTTCATCCATACCTCCCATCTATATTTATTTTTTCTTCGTCATGTTCCCCTGTATGTTTATATCTCCTCTGGAGCTCATGAACTTTTGAACTTCGTTTTATATAACGGCACAGAAATGAATCGATTCTAGTGATAAAATACACACAAAGTGTCCTCTTTAGAGCAACGCATGAAATGCAAGCAGTAGCATAGACAGCAGGGAAATTGTTGGCAGGAGTCCCACACCGCTGCTGGGGCTAGGGCTAGGGCTAGGGCTAGGGCTAGCGGGGTACCGCGAGACTTGTCGGCCAGCCAGATCCTGCGTGCTGCGGTAGTTGAACGTCAGGCGATCCCCTTCCTCGTTCTCCTCCACCTCCCGCAACTGCGCGAGGTACGCGCTCGGGATAGAGATGGTCTCCTCCAATAGGAACCACTGTACCACCTCGCTGCAGTTTGGCGTCGTCAGCGAGCCTTCGTAGTAATAGTACGATCGGCCGGACGGCAGTAGATCGTAGAAGTTCACGGTTGTATTGAACTCTCCGCCCGTTCCCTGCACTTCTTCCACGTTCAGAGCGCTCCATACGCCAGCTATGGCCTCGCTGTCGTTCGCAACGGCCATGACTCCCACGACCGCGAACGAATCACCCCGCGTACCGGTCGTGTCGCCCCGCTTTCGGTGGACGAAGTGGATCTCTGCAGACGCAGGGGTCCCATCCACCACGTGTTCGGAGCCGACATTGTCCATGGCTCCCCAATGCATGTGGAACTGGAGCACGTCGTAGTGCCGAGATGGTTAGTGGTCGATGCGGCCGGCGGCTCGTCCGAATCGGGCGTGAATTTCACGCTCGTCCCCGTGTTGTAGAACACTCCATCTCGTTCTCTGTTCCACAGGCTGAGCTCAAGGTTCAGTAGCTGGTCGTTGTCTCACGGCATCATCGCTTGCAATGGCGATGGGGGATTGGCCGTTTGCTGGTCTCCAGGTTGCAGGAGACCGCCCCAGACTGCCTGGTCCGAATATTCGAAGGTGCCCGTGGCCGCCAAGCCGACGGTTAGAACGGCTGCCAGACAGAGAAATGTCTCCATTGCTGCGTGTATAAAAACTGTTGTAGCTCTCTAGCTAGGAGATTCGCTGAATGTCCACGGATAAGAGCGTATGTAGCTGATGCGCTACTCACGCAGCGAAGTCGCTTTTATAGCGGAGCGCACCGAGTGCTATATACATTTATACAGCATGCCACATTGAGTGACATGATATCCTTTGGGGACTATAATACTACACAGCATTCAACACATACTGTCCATGTACACATCCTTCACTCAATGCTCTTTACTCAGGTCAATGAATTCAAAAATGAGAGTCAATCTTGTTGGTCTAGAATGGTCAGTTTTCCTCTCCCGGCATCGATGTGGACCCTCATTCCAGTCTTGAGTCTCTTCATTAGACCTCCTGTCACACCTACAATGGTGGGGAGACCCAGCTCCCTAGCCACCACTGCCGAGTGTGACAGCAGACTGGATAGAGAGAGCCAGAGAGAAGTAGCACTTTCAGTTACAGTTTGGGTGAATGGGGGGCAAACAAAGTCTGATTCTTCAAAGCTATTAAGCACAGTAATGAAGTACTACAACAGAGAGAAATGCTATATAAGTAGCTTAAAACTTTCAAGATTGTGAGATTGTGACTGACCTGCCTCTCTCTATGACGAGACCGGAGCAGAGAGGGTAAAGGGGTACCCAGCCGGGATCAGTTCTGGCCGTCACCAGTATCTCCCCGTCCAGACCCTGGAGACAGCATTCACACAGAAATGGTGGAACAATCAGACATCACCCAGTAAAGGCTCTTTGTCGGTACAATCTAATATTTGTTGCAACAAAGCCAAAGGAATAAGCAAAAAACCAGGTTTATTAGTATTACTCCCAATTTATAATGTCTTTACCAAATGCACTTGGAAGTACGCCTAACTATAGAAAGCAACTGCAAGTTAGGCTATAAAGTATTGGAGGACAGTCAATATTTTCCAAATTGTGTGGTTACTGAAAGTAATATCTGTAGAATGGTGTTTGTGAGAGGCCGTTGTGGAGCAAATAATTATTACAAGCAGACAGTAGTAAAGTATAATATGCCCTCCTATTCACAACAGACGTACACATACAGACAAAAATAATGCATGGGCATCTCTGAAATCTCACGTAATATTGAATTGTGTACAACAATAGTAATTTACATGTTGGTGGCACCCTTGGATTGAAAAAAAAAAACAAAGAAAAATACCAGTTTAAGTGAGAAGGTTGGCTTGCTAGGCTCACTGACAATGCACTAACCTCAGTCTGTTGTATGGAGGTGACCACTCTCACAGTTCCCTCCACAACTCCAGGACAGCACGGAGTCCCTGTCAACACATTGGGGTCTGAGGACCCCTCTCTCTAACGATGAAACAAGTACACACATAATAGTAGTTTTGAACCATCTTTAAAACACCAGCTGCGCCAGCCACATTCCGATGTTGAAACGTTAACGACATTAGCATCTGTCTACACAAACGAAATCTCAGAACCAATACTGTATAGGCAATTATATGGCGCAAACATACACGCGTATGTACTGTGGGACTTGTAAATGTATAGACCAATGAGGTAGTCCTAGTGTCTTTATAACCGGGGCAACAAGCTTTTGTAAGCACGTAAACCCCGGCACCAGATGGCTATGTTGGACACACTACAGGGAATTGGTACTGTACGTAGCCTTGCTAGTTGAACGCTATAATGTCATTTTGCTGTGTACCGCAACTTGCTAGAGGTCCCTCATTAGAACAATGGCTGTTATCACATGCAGGAGCTACAATGTCATTACACACACTGCCAAGCACATGAGAGTACAAAGCACAGCTCTGCAAACATGGCCATAACTAGTAGCAAACCCGTCTGTCTCAGACTATATTATGTATAATATGTACATAACTGTTTCATCATGCACAAATCGACTTCGCTAGAACATAAAACGGACTCTGAAGGAACTGTAATTAGTTATAAGTGATTCTATTTATATACGAGTGAAACACGCGCAAACAATTGAACCGCTCGCCAAAAAAGGGGTTAGATTCGTTCTAGTAAATGTATGCATGTACCTCTAGTTCCTTGAGAAGGTTGAGGTCTTCAAGAATGGCTGGATAGAGAAAGTATGTCCCAACTGCTCCCCTCGTCATGAACCTCTCCGGAGGGGGGAGACCCTGCAATTAACGACAATAAATTACTCAGGGCTGATAATAAAATTCCAGTGGGACCCTGAAAAAAAACCTAAAACGGCATCACTATTGTCAACAGGCAGTTGGGCACAAAGCACCTTATTTGGCAAGGGCACAATGGACATTTGCATAATTTTTTTTTTACAAATTGAGGGTGTTTCCAGATGCAAAGTATTGCGACTGTACCTTTCTGTAGCTGTCGAATTCTCTCTTCCTGACCTGAGCAAGCTCAGAGAGGTTGTTGGTGACGGCTCGACCATCCACAAAGGCAAACAACTCCTCCATCGTCAGGTAGAAGACGTCCTGTAAGACATGAGACAACACACACTCCCATCTTTCTCTCACCTCTTTCTCACATTTTTACACACGTTAATCCATCTGCATATAGTGTCCAACCATAATAATGCCGAGATTTCACAATCACTGTCGTCACAGGCACACACACACATGCACATACACACACACACAGGCGCAGTCACGCACACACACACACACACACAGGCGCAGTCACGCACACACACACACACACACAGGCGCAGTCACGCACACACACACACACACACAGGCGCAGTCACACACACACACACACACACACAGGCGCAGTCACACACACACACGCACACACACACACACACACACACTTTCAACCATGCTTCTCGTATGACCATTTTCCTGCCATGCATGCATAAACATTCGTAACACAAACCAAATACAAGTATAAAGAGGAGTGTTACAAGGGCAATAGTGATATATGTATAATATACCCATGCCAGGTAATCAGTGTATGGCAAATTGAGGAGAACCTGACACAGGGGCCAAGGACAGTGTAGTGTGTAGAGTGGCTACAACGAATCGTTGCCAATACACATGCCTGGCTAATTGGTAGTGAGGCGAGCCTAACTAGTTGTCCGTATTGCGCAATATTTCATAATCATGTAACCAACATCGTCTCTGCAACTCGAAAGAGTGCATGCGTAAACATCACCGACCAAGAGAGAAAGAACCTCCTTTCGTAGACACACCAATATCAGTATAGTCAGCTAAGCATGTCACATATACCTGTCTGTCAGTCAGTAGACCAAGGGACACCAGACTGTTGCCAATTGCTCTGAACAGCTCTCTGTAGATTCCAAACAGTTTGGAGCGAGAAAATCTCATGTTTTCGCGATGTTTTACTGCCTTCCTGGCGTGGTAGAGAACCCAGTTGAAGAGAAACTGTACATGTGGGAGGGAGGGAGGGATTTGAATAATGGTAGAGAGGGAGGAGGAGGAGGAGGAGAGAGGGAGGGAGTAGGGCAGCGAGAGGAGAGAGGGGGAGAGAGAAAGAGGAAACGAGATGAATTGACAAAAGAGGAGAGGGGGGATTGAAAGGAGTGGATAAAAGGATACGAACCGGAATGACAAACAGAGGAGAGGAAAATGGAGAGGAAAATGGAGAGACAGAGAGTCTCAGTTATGCATCACAAAGGATTGACAGAGGTATACTATGTCCAGACAACGCCCGGAGCATGAGGCACACAGAGTTAGTGTGTGTAGGCCTGGAGCATGAGGCACACAGAGTTACAACATGTAGTGTATGTAGGCCTGGAGCATGTGGCATACAGAGTTACAACATGTAGTGTATGTAGGCCTGGAGCATGAGGCATACAGAGTTACAACATGTAGTGTATGTAGGCCTGGAGCATGTGGCATACAGAGTTACAACATGTAGTGTATGTAGGCCTGGAGCATGTGGCATACAGAGTTACAACATGTAGTGTATGTAGGCCTGTCAAGGGAAATCACGGTGTGTGGAGGATGGGTGTGAGGCAGTCTGGAGGATGGTTCACCTCTCTGATATTCATGGACCATCCTCATCAAGAATTCCCAATACCAGTCAACTGTGAAATTAGTCATCAAGATGAGCGTGCATACGGCGTAATTGGTTTAGCCGGGGGGCGGGGGAGATCTTTTCATTCTCGGAATTCATTTTAACTGCATGCAAAACTTATCCCGTGAATTGTGCAGCAATTTTTATCACAGCATATTGCAAGGAGTATGGTAGTGTGTCATGTAGCATAGTACAAGAACCTAGACAACGCTGGGAAAAGAGCTGCCCTGGGTGGGACTCAAACCAACGACACTCTGTTCTCTAGACAGAGTGCTCTACCAGTCACCAGGGCAGCTCAGAAGGCAGGGCCACAAGCCTGCAATACAGCACAACACAAGGCAAAGGCTAACCTAAACCCTGTGTTATAATATAAGTTTGAAACCTGTCACTTAATGATGCATCAAAACAAAAGAAATACCTTGGCATATATAGGAGTACACTATTCAAGCTATATAAGAAGTAAAAAATATGACCCTGAGACTCTGAATATGTGTGAATCATGTGCACAATGCAAGTGTTTCGGAGCTAACTCTTTTGTGAATGGGTAGTTGGTTGTTGGCAGTCTCTTCGGCCTTGCAGCGGATCTGAGTCTCTCTCTCTTCCATGTTGGCTATTGAATAGGAGTTGGTCTTCACATAGCCTGATATCATGTCAACTAAAAACCCTGTGTTGTGATGAGGAGTGGGGGGAGAGAGGGAGGGAGGAGGTGAGGGAGGTGAAGGGGAGAGAGAGAAGAGAGAAAGAGAGTATAATTATACATGTATTATGAGGAGGAGGAGGAGGAGGAGAGAGAGAAGAGAGAGATGGAGTGTACCTGGGTCATCGTGAAGCGAGTTTTCCTCCAGTTTCTGTTCGTTGATGCAACGAAAGCCGTACTTGTTCAGGAACCTCTGTAGGCTCTGCACCACGTTCATCTTTGCCTGTTCACGCAGCAAACACACACACACACACACACACACACACACACGAAACTGTTGTTTATGCAAGAAGCGGCAAAGTCAAACTTAACGAAGGAAAAGGAAAAATGTTGTCATTGGTTAATTTATACATATCCTGCATGAAACGATTTCCACCAAGCCTGTGGGGATAACTGAAGCCGCTGTTCATGAATTATCCATGTAACTATGCCCGATGGTATGAAAATTGGTCCACACAAGGATCTACACAAACTTTGCCATGGAGACCAGTAGGTGTGAAGAGAAGCACTGGGATATTAGCAAAGACAAGACAAGAGAACTATCCTTTGATGTATAGACTACACAGATGTTGGCTGGAGGCTCAACTGGAGCTCTTGCAAAGTAGACTGCTTTTCCAGGCACTTCACATCAGATGGGAGTGTGGGTAATAACTAGCAACTCCTTCCTTGCGTAAAAACTCAGATATTGGCAAGCTATTACAGGTAGTTGGGGCACCAGAATTCTAAGAAGAATACTAATCTAAATACGGAGTACATAACATGTTTAGTGCAGAGCAAATCAGCTCCGTATACGCGCACAGCCGCGTTTCCAAGCAGAGGGAACTTGAAAGATGCGAGAAAGAGACAAGAGTGCAAAAAAAGAGTGTGTTCAAATGCATGAAGCTGTATCTGCTCTCTGGCAAGAGGTAGTTTCCTCCGAATTATGACTTCCTCGAAACTGAAGCCCTCGACCCAAGATAACAGGAACAAATGAGCAGAAATAACCAGCCATAGAATATTGTGAGAGTGAGAGAGAGGGAGGGAGAAGAGAGAGGGAGGGAGAACAAAGATAGGGAGGGAGAAGAGAGAGGGAGTTTTCTTAGACGAAGAGATATGAGACAGACACTAGAGGGAGGGACTAATCAGAGAGGGAGGTGCCCTTAGAATAGAGAGTATTCACCTGGTAAAGAGGGTCGGAAGGAGAACTGTCTTCTTCAGTGTCTGGAGCATCTTCTGGCTTTTTCCTGTGACGTAACCCAGAGGTAGAACTGAGAGATGAGAGAGAGAGAGAGAGAGAGAGAGAATAGCAACTCGAAGAGTGAATGGTTCTGACTTTTGTTATAAAATATTAGTATATACTCTGTGTATTAAATAAATATATCACTTATATTCACAATGGAAGAAAGTACGCTTACTCTGTCACTTATTTCAACTATGGACCAAATATGCTTACTCTTTGTACCATATTACCATTTCCATGGTAGATAAACAGGCCTATGTTGCCGTAAGCATGGACACACACAATCACCCACCATCGCTATGCCACCGTGGTAGTTGCTGCTCAGCAACGCAGCCGGAGCTTCTCCTCGCCACCTGTTGGCGACATGCCTTACGAGTTCCCCAATAGCTCAGATTATCTTGCATGTTGTTTCCATCCTCACTCCATGCAGGCTATAGAGAACTTATGTATGTCGCTACATCTACCAAATGAAGGACCACATGTACAACAGCAAAACGAACTTAATCTCGTCGACTCACCTTTCTGCCTGCCTCTCTCTCCTCCCCCTCTCCTGCCTCCCTACTTCCTGAGCTAACATGTCCAACACCTCTGCCTTGCTGCTCAGAAACCATTCCTTCAACCCTCCCCCTCCCTCTCCTCCTCCCCCTCCTCCACTGCTGTGAGTGTCTATGTACTATCTGCCAGCTTCATGAGCGCCTTTGTTGGCTGGGTACTCTCAACATCACCTGTACATCAGTATTCATAACGTCACTGATTTTTGCTGCTTTTCTGCAGGTTCACATAATTATACACACAGTGTGACAGCTGACGTTGTACATATGATATCCCCAGCACCCAGCACAATACTATAGTATTTGTCAACAACGAGGTATTGAGATGTAGAAAGGCAAAGCAAACAAGTCCATGTACACTAGCAAGTTTTTGTGAAAAGTTACAGTTTGGCAGTGGGCTAGGTACTGTATGATCTTGGGTGTACTAGTACAGTATGTGTAGGACAGGTCTGTATGTCATATGTATGTGTAGGAAGGGTCTGTATGTCATATGTATGTGTAGGTGTAAGCTGTTCAGCAGAGCTCACAATCATGAGCCTGATCTTAATGGTCCGTCCACTGTGTGTGTTTTGATGATGCAGCAGTTCCCAAGGGGCAGGGGTGTCAATCTGGCGCTATGGCGCTAAAATCAGCGCCAAACGCAATTTTAAAGCGCCAGACAGAGAAAATGAAGCGCCGGGCCCTAGCTCGCCAAAGCTTGCCTGCGCGTCTCTGCGCACACGCGAACGTGGAGTTACCGGTTGTTAGCTGAACTTTGCAATTGGGTGTAGCGCCAAGGCAGTCCCACCCCTGAAGGACGTCCATGGAGGGTGTCAGTTTTATAGTGGATTGATGTTAGTGTTTGAAGAGTGTGTGTGTGGTTTGTGTGGTCCACTTTACACAAGCTGTAAAATACATCTCCTGATGTGTGCTCAATCTACAGCCTAAGATCCAGTTAGAAGATGGGATGTGTGTGGAGAAGGGCTCTAAAAATTAAGGTGCAGTGTATATTAACCTCTAACAATGCCTTTGAGGTCACACCCAGCATAGAATTTAAGTCTTAGCCAGAATTTACTTCTAGTCAGACACAAAGTAAAAAAATTTAGCATGTATGTAAATTTACAGCGGGCTGTCACTTCCTATCCAAACGCCAGTATATACAGTACGGAACTCTCAAATAGTGATAGACAGATGTATATTATTAATGGTCCATCCACTGTGTGTGTTTTGATGATGCAGCAGTTCCCAAGGGGAGTCCATGGAGGGTGTCAGTTTTATATTCCATTGAAGTGTGTGTGTGGTGTGTGTGGGTCCACTTTACACAAGCTGTAAAATACATCTCCTGATGTGTGCAGCCTCAAGATCACAGTTAGAAGATGGGATATGTGTGGAGAAGGGCTCTCAAAATAAGGTGGGTGTACACATGTCTTACTAACCTCTAACAAGTCCTTTGAGGTCATACCCAGCACAGCAAACCATAATTACTTTTAGTGGGACACAAAGTAAAATTTTTTAGCATGTACGTAAATTTACAACGGGCTGTCCCTTGCTATCCAAACGCCAGTACGGAACTCACAAATAAAGTGATAGACAGATGTATATTATTATACATACCTTGTCCACAGAGTAAGTCATTTTGTAAAGATTGGGCCTATGGGAGATGAATACTGCATCACACAGGCAGAGAAACACACTATACAGAGAGTATTGAGCAAAGAGTGTCTATGAGAGCTGACTGCTTTCCCTCAAAATCATAAGCTGCTGGCACGGAGGAAGAGAGAGATAGAGGAACATGAGGGAGGGCGGAAGAAGAAGAAGGGAGGAGGGGAGAGGAAGGAACGAGAGAGGAGGAAGAAAGAAATAAACAGAGACTCTGGCAAAGGCTCACGGCGTTCGAGTCAGAAGTAAGCCACTTGGACACCAGAGACTTGAGCAGACCGAAAAACAGCATCACGCAGGCATCGTTCATGATGGGAGTCTCCCACTTTCCCAACACCTCCTGTGGATGGACAACGGTGGCCATTTTGTACACTCTTGAATGGAAGATGACAACGCCCATGCGGTGGGAAAATTTCTAAAAGTTTCAAAGTTTCAGAGCTATCAGTCAAAGATTTATGAGTGGGGTGAAAAGCAAACATTTCTGGTAAATAGTTTCACTTTTCCACTACACCCGTGGTCTGCAGTACACATACGTAAGTCTGTTATGTTCAGGTAATATGTGTGTACAAATGCTTGCCCATCATGCAACAGTCAATTCTCTCGACCGTCTGTCCGAGACGACAATCACAATGCAGCCAACCATGCTGGGAATCTCCAATAAAGAAAGGAGAGAGCAAACACGATGGAGAGATAAAAATCGTGAAGGACTCCTCTGCAACAGTACGTAATATGGTCATGTGTATGTATGATTATGAGAGTGGTTATACTACAATACCTCAAACAGGTGTTTGACGTAGTCGATCTGAGCGGGGAGGGAGAGAGAGGAGAAGTCGGTCTCCACGGCTGCAGTGTAGTAGGAGTTAAATCTCTGAGAGAACTGCTCCACCAGCTGGTCTATCTTATATACTGTGTACACCACTCCATACAACACCTGTATGTGTACGTATTATAGAAATACAGCCATATTATGTGATTGGTAGCATTAATAGCTATAATTTAGGCAGGCAAAACAGTAGTGGTTGAGGTTGGAATCACCCAAAAAATTATTTTAGTGATCACTGAATTCAACAGTCCAATTGAGGCAAAATTTGTTGCCCACTAAAAGTAAACACCTTGATCTTGGTCCACACTCCATACTTTGGAGCGGTGTCCCTGATCCGTCCCAGCTCAGCCTCCAGTTCCGGATCCAGACTCTGACACACACACACACACACACACACACACACAACACTACAATCTTCAATGACAGTATAACACAGATGAAGAAAGCCATGTATCCATGCCTGGCATTGCCTGCACTCTCACATGTACGTACATCAGGTTTATAGAACACAACAAAAAACTTCTCCATCTTATGTATAAAACGGGTTTCCAAACCTGTTTGACTCCCATCATGGTCTCCATGTACTTTGAGGTGTCTCCGACGGGGAGACAGGAGAGGCAGCGATACCAGTTGATCAGGTTGTAGTACAGGTTGCCCCTCACTAGACCAACCATGTTACCGAGGTAGGGTTCGTAGGTCGCCAATGTACTCTCGGGGACACCTGCGGCTCGAAGGGTCTGAGTGTACACCTGCATGTTATGTAGAGGACGAAGAAAGTGAGTCTTAAAAAGGATATGCTTTGAGGTGTAGCCGTAAACAGTATGCTCAGGGTTAGGACGAAATTGCTACTTTCTCCATACCTTAATGCAAGCAAATTGGGGCAACTACAGCCGAAACGAAAACCCTCTCAACACACAAGGTAAGGAGTCCTTGAACATTTCTTTACAGTGCATACATTTACTTGGACAAACTTCAAATTCAAAGGCTGTGGTTCATAGGTGTAATTCCCACATGACCCATTGATGTGGGGATAATTATAAGGCAATTAGCGAGTTACCAGGAATGCCAGCTTTCAACTCACAACATCACAGGTGCAAGGCATTTACTCAAAGATGGTTGTCTCACAATACTTCACCTGCCACAGCATTATCAGTGGTTGCAAACTTCAATTTGTACATTTCAAGTCACAATCAGGTGCATTCTTTATGCCCCCCCACCCCCAAGATATATGGAAATTTCAGAAGCTTTGACAGCACTGAGCAGGTCAACCCAGTAAGAGTGGGCAGCCTTCATGGCCCTATTGTACTCACAAATGAAATTTCGATCTGCAGGAACTAGTTAGGAAATGTGGGTTTCTTTCTCGGGAGTCACAGCATGCCTGAGAGGAAAGGCAGCCACGAGCATTAGTCTGTGTTTGTGTGGAGGGTTCCTATAAACAGCCAGCTATAGGTCTGATTCCCACAGTCTCACGCTCTATTCTTGCGACAGAGGCTGAATATGGACGAACTACTACTATATCCGACCCAAGGAAATTCCGGGCAGGAAATACATACATAGCTGATCCTCCTGGCTTGAACGCGCGCGCAACGCGACACAGTACTCCCGTACTACAAACGTACGCATGCGCGCTGGATTTACTGACCACGCCTGTTTTGCGAAAAGAGATGGAGGCCTCAGAATCGGGGACGGCCGAATGCCCGGTGTGCCTGGCGTCTCACCCGCTACGAGATCTCCTACTGACCAAATGTGAGCACAAGTTCTGCAGGTCTTGCGTGGGGAGCATTCTGAAGGCGGCCGACGCCACTTGCCCGCTCTGTCGACGGGAGATAACTCCGTACGACACGACTCGTCTCTCCACGGGCCAGGCGCTGGCAGAACGACCGACAACCATCTTTGGCGGCGTCTACATCCAAGGCGGCACTCTGGGCCTCGCTAGCTACCATTTCTCGGAGCAAGAGAGCTACATATCCTACAGCGCTGCTCCACGTATTTGGCGACTGGATGACGGGTCACCTCCTCCAGCCAAGAAGCCGTTCCTACACGCAACGTACGACGCGAGCTGCAGAACTTTCAGAGCCGTCGTGGACTGGTCCGACAACAACTTTCACGGAAACGTAGAGTGGATATACCGCATGGTGTTCTCCGAGGACTTTAGAACCATAGAGAAAGGAGAAGTCATTGCTTACGAGGCAGATCGAAGAAAGGGAGAGTGGCACGCTTATGAGCAGGACTTGTTTTATGTTAGACATGAAGAGATAGATTTCAACCAGTGAAAGAATCCCTAATGTTTTTATTTCATGAACATGATGTCCAAAAACATCTAAAAGTCCAGAGCTCCGCATCTTTTTCTCTTGGCATCACATGGTATTTTCTACACATGCATAATACGCATCATGCATAGCAGCCACATCTAGCTAAGCAAAATTAATACGACCCGCCCCATCAGAAAATCACAACAAATTCCCACTTTTTGTGTCTTCCTTTGGTGGGCCAGAAAAATATAATCTTCAGGTTTATAGTTATATCATTGAGCCAATCAACTAACCTGTTTGTAAGCGAGAGAGGCGAAGGAGAAGGTGAGAGGAGAAGTGACTCCAGCAAAGCTCTCTACGATGTTGGAGTTGTCCCAGAGAACGGCGTCGGAGCCCGGGACGGTGGGAGAGAAGAAGGGAGAGGGAGGGAGGGTCACTATCGGTCTCGCCTGGAGACAGTACAACTTCCCTGTTGGGAGAAGAATACACACACACTTGTTTTAGTTTTTTGTTTAGGTCTCCATAGAATAATGCATGCTCTATTACTTGTGTGATTACATCATACCATCTTCCATTCCCCATTCAAAGTCCTGCGGTTTGCCAAAACCTTCCTCGAGAGATATCAGGAGTTTCGCAATCTCTACGGCGGCAGCGTCGCTGAGTGATGGTTCCTTGACCCTCCCCTCTTCCACGTCCACCGTCCTCACTCCTCCCCCCTCCCCCTCCTCACCCCTCACCATCATTTCACTCTTCTCTGCCATCTCTTTCTCCACTTTGAAATCCTTCCTCGACACCTATCATAACGACACACAGACAGAGACATACACGCAGTACAGCAGAGTGTATAAATCTCACAATTCGATAGCCAAGATAGATTTTATGGCCCACTTGAACCTCTTTCGGTTTAAAAATCTATATGCTGAAAAACACACGTACGTAGGTTTAACCAGCTACAAAGTTGGTTCATGCCAAGTTTTGCGAGATCCGGGTTTAATTTGTAGGAGTGTAGATGTCTTAGTAAAACTTTCTTGCCGCAAAAATGCACTAGTTGTAATATAAAACAGTAATATTCATTTGACAACAACTACCAAGTATTGCTGGCCATAAACACCTGATATCTGTCGGCCTCCAGAAGTCCGCTGACGAGACCTTCTCCGAGACCATAGACTGCCTCCACCAGTACAGAGTGGGAGGAGACTGGGAGGAGGGGATGTCTGGAGAACCCAACCCCACTCACTTCGCTGTTCACCATCACCTGGTGGGTGGATGGAGGAGAAGAGAAAGATATACAAGAAGAAGAGGAAGGGAGAAAGACAAGGAGACGAACGAAGCAAGGAAGAGGTTCAGAAAAAGAAATGGAAATGAGAAAGTGAGAGGGAGATGAAGGGAAGAGAGAGAGAGAGAGAGAGAGAAATGAGAGGGAGATGAAGGGAAGAGAGAGAGAGAGGAAAATAAGAAGAGGAGGAAAAGAAAAGAAGATGAAGAAAAGAGGACAAAGAGCAAGAAGATTGGAAGGAGATGGAGGAAGACCTACAGCTCATCACACTGGTCTACACACATTTAGTCATTTATTTCTGCACTGTAAAAGAAGCCCCACCTGTACAACGACGCCCATCTTGAGACCGGAGAGAGGCATCCCGACCTCGAGTCTGTGGCTCATGACTCTCTCAGAGAAACACGAGATCCAACACTGTCTCACCGACCTCAACACCGCCTCTCTCCCCCTCTGGTACAGATACGTCTCAAACTGACCTGCACACCGACACACACCATTACACTAGAAACATTGGCAAGCCAACACGTACATGTAAGTCTCAACTTATTGGCACAATATTGGTTGGCATTACGGTAAGTGAATGGGAGTGCTAAATATTATAGTATTGAGAGCACAGTCGGTCTACAAATAGACATAGAAAATTAATTGAGATGGCTATGTAGGTGGGCATCTTTCACTAGCCAATAATGACATAGCGCTACTAGGAAAATATTTCACTTGGTCAACATTGATGACCACCAACCCCCCAAGTTAAGAAAACTATCCAAAGGATGGATACCAAAATTCAACGATGAGTACAATACTAACTAGTTACTGTAAATGGCATCAATTAGAGTGTGAAACACATGTGGTCGCCACATTGCAATAGGTGAAGTGACATCACGCTAGCCTCACCAGCAAAGGAATGCGAGGCAGAGTCTTCATCAGTTCCACTCGATCTCACCGCCACATATCGGCCGTCGAAAGTGGGCGTGGCTAGTTTAGCAAGTATGGCTTCCTCCAGGGAGGGAGGGAACGGAGCCGAGATGACTGAGTCCTGAATGGCTTCAGCACCGGTCTTGAGGTCACCGGGGTCAACCATGAGGGAGTGCCGCAAATTATTTGCCTGTGAGTGTAATTACATTCCTGTATCACAAAGGTTCTGAAACCAGTGCTACGCCTCTCTAGATCGTACCAATGGCATCTGAAGACAACTAAACCATTTCCAGCCGTATGCCACAGCTTCTGTACTATAGCATTGGGCCCAAATGAGCAGATGAGAGCTGTGTGCATGTGTTTGCACGTGTGTGTGTGTGTGTGTGTGTGTATGCAAATTGGACACCTGAATTCAACAGTTTATTACACTGCCTTTCTACTAACACAGAAGGCGTGATACACGCTCATTGTTACTTTAGGCTCTTTTAGGCAGTGAACAGAAGAGGCAAAGTTAGAAGGACCTCAATGAAGGTGGAGAAGGCGTCGGTGGTGATACAGAACCAGTCCGGGACTGTGCAGCCCTCCATGGATCCCAGGACCCACAGATTGTGACCTTTGCCCCCTGCCAGGTGGCTCGGACAGCTAGGGGAGTTTTGGTCGAGGAGCAGACATACATCATCCTCCCTCCTTCCCTCTTTCTCTCCTTCCATAGCGTCCTGGGAGAGAGACACAATACATGAATGTACTCAATATAAGACCCTGTACTTTGTACATTGTACCTATCCTGGCTGCAGTCAACGATTCCTGCAGTCGAGGTCAAAAGCTGCAGCCCTGCAGAGAGCACGGAGTCTCATGAATATATTCATGAATTACGTCACTCGTTACTAAACCTCAAGACCACGCCCCCGCCCCGCCTTGCACATGCTCAAAGCGCGGAAAAAGGTAGCCATTTTTCCTTTCAAACCGCCTAGCAGAGGTGTCGTGTGCCCTTCGTCAGAGAGAGCGGTCTACTGCGCATAATCCATGGAGCCCAGCCACGAATCTGTAGCAATCGGCGGGAGTTTCGCCGCCCAGGTGAGCAGCACTGGGATCCCGCTCGAAATAGTCGACGCCGAGAACGCCCAGGCCGGCGGCGGTGAGCGAAACCGCCAGAATGTGTCGGCGGACGAGAGCATGGAGATGGACACGTCCTCTTCGACCCCGGCACCGACTGTGGGTTCTCAGACTGACAGCAACGGGCAGGCCGGCCTGGGGAAGACGGCCGGGGCCCATTTGGGCGGGATGGGAGTTCGAGGAGGAGGAGGAGGCGGGAACCTGGGGTTGCCTTCGGATCAGTTGTCCGCCACCACGGGTGGGTTGGAAGTGAACGTAGTCGGAAGCAAGTCGGCGGCGGGGAGCGGTAGCGGCGCTGGGAGGCAGGCCCAGGTTCGAGACACGGCGGCCCAGTCTGCCATTGAGCATTTTCACCAAGAAGTTGCACGCTCGCTGGGCGCGAGTAACTCGGGAGGTTCCGGCTTAGAGGTGGCCCCCGACTCTATCGTCTTCCCACCGGCGGGACAGGGAGGAGGGGGAAGTGGTGCGAGAGTTACAGCCGATGCGTCGGGCCCCGAGCTAATGAACGTGGCGAAAAGAATCCTAGGTGGGGTAAACGTGAGCTACGGCGATTTAGACATCAGCGGTATGAACTCCAGCATGGATCAAAGCCTCGAGGTTTCCACGCTCTCCACGCCTAAATCCGGTCGCGGGGGAAACGTGTCGAGCATGCTAAACGATCCGGGGTCTCCCTCGTCTGACGTCGACAGCACGTTTGACAGCAGCGAGTTGCTCAATGCGGAAGAGCTGCAACACGACGAGATGACAACTCGGCTTTCCCGTGCCGGGCCCATCGGTCTTGCCACCGCCGCGGCCATCATGACCGGCAGAAAACGCAAACGACAGCACATCTTCGAGTCAAATCCTGCACTCCGCAGACGCCACTGCTCGAAACTCATCCGCAAACTGAAAGAAACGATCGTGGAACTGACTGCTCGCGTCGGTCTCCAAGCCGCCGTCGTGTTCTACCGCCCGGGGAAATCAGACCCAAAGGAGGAGCCTTCATACAAAGTCTTTGGTGCTTCTCCGCTGGACAGCTGTCTTATGAACCAGAAGGCGCAGATATGCTCAGAAATGGACGCCGTCCTCAATCAGCAGGTACCAGTCCCTACCAAAGAGTCCGATCTCCCAGCGGCCGGCTCCGATCTTCACGAGCTTCCTCCTGTCATGTTTGATGGCATACCCACCCCGGTCCACAAGATGACGCAGGCACAGCTGAGGGCTTTCATCCCCAACATGCTCAAGTACTCCACCGGTCGAGGCAAGCCCGGCTGGGGCAAGGATGGTGAGTTGTGATTCTCTTTGTCCTGGTGTGTGTGTCTGATTGGTTTTTGGAGTGTCTGCTGTGTGTCTGGGGTTCTTGTGCGTGTTTTGGGGTGTCTGGTCTATCTTTGGGGTGTCTGGGGTGTCTCGGTGGTTGATGTGCATGGGTGCTGTGTGTGCCCATTCCTTATGCACGTTATGTTATCCACACTACCACTTTGGCAGTTGCATGCTATAACTCTTTGACAGTAATGTGTGGAAGTGCTTGGAAATGAGATGCGAGTGCAAATGTGCACTACACATGTGCACGAACAGCTACAAGGACACGTACATAGCTGTTTTTCCCTTCTCTTACGGCAAATAGAATGCAGAGTTGTACAAAACATGTCTGCCTCCTTTTCTCGAGGATCACTTGTTGTGTGTCTTCTTGTTCCCCACTAGAAATGAAACCAGATTGGTGGCCTGGCGACATTCCCTGGCAGAACGTACGTAGTGACATGCGTACACCCGAGAAAAAGAAAGAAGTCCCGTGGACCGAGGGACTTCGTCGCATCGTCATCTCGTGCTACCTCCATCACGGGCGACTCGACCTTCTACCCGAGTTTTCAATCGAGCACCTCCCCCAGATATCTGCCGAGACTGCACAACAGATCCAGCTGCAGTTGGAGAGGCTCCAGCAACAAGGAGGAGGGGGAGGGTTTATGGGGAGGAGTGTGAGAGGAGTGGAGGGGGAAGGAGGTGCGGGCAGCGGGGTGGTGGAGCACTCGACGTCCGAGACGCAGTTGGTAGAGGCTGGCGGGGGAGAGGTCTTTACCGTGGACACCGGCATAGGGAACTGCGACAACTCGGGGATGCCAACTCTGGCCGACGCCACTTTAGCTGAGGCAGCCGCCAAACTACAGCAGGTGTGTGTGACGCCAGTTTTTGGTGGCTGTTTGTGTTTTTTTACAGTGTGTGTGTGTGTGTTATGTTTATTCACTGGGGTGGATACACAAGATGGTGTGCACTGTTTGATTGTTGCTTGAATCTGTTTGCTGAATGAGTGTGTGTGTGTTTTTGTGTCACCGTGTGTGAGAGTCTCACGATAACTCAGGTAATCATCTCCACACATTGATTACCTAATTAAAGCATCCCTAATCTTTCCCAATGCATGTGAGAATGTCAGAGTCTCAGAAAACATACTGATTAGAGCAAACCTACTCTTTTCCACTCCCTCCTCTTCCCTCACTCTCCCCCACACGTAGGTAGCAGACGAGACAGGCGAGGTGCAGTACGCAACTCACCTGGTTACGGTGACGGAGAAAGACGCAAAGGCCCTCGGTCAGCCGGTGGGGTCAACCACCACTGTCCTCCTCACGGCTTACCCCGGAGGTCACAGCGGTGGGGTGGAGTCAGGGACAGAGTCAACCGAACTTATCTCTCCCCCAACCACCTCCGCCACTGTACCCAATGTCCAGGTATTATAACAGAGGGCAATCGTTGAGGCAATGTTTGTGTTGACACTTGAGTCCATGTGAGTGTTGAGGGCAAACTTTCAATGATTATTTAGTTGTCCTTTGACTTTAGGGTGTACATTTTAGGTATTATAATTGGAAGTGTAAAAGTTTGGGGGGCCATCAAATTTTATCCTCAATTTTTCGCAAGGGCTCCAGGTGTATTAAACGGCACCCATGTGTCCATATTGATGTACGTATGCCCACAAGTATGTACACATGAGTCTATTTTACGTAGTGTTGTGTGCTTGTATCTCCTCACGACAGGTCGTGTACAGTGCCTCTCACATTGACGCCATCCCAGACAGTCTAGTCTCGTCTGTCGCCTCTTCCTCCTCTACCACTGCCCAGCTCACTCAGAGTACCGCCTCCACATCCGGGCCGATAGCTATGCCATCCGTTGTCGATGTAGCTGGGGGAGGAGGGACCGGTGGCCCGGGATATGCCATCGTCCCGAATTCGATCCTGGGACAGAGCGAAGTGGTGACGCAGATCCAGGGAGCCATGGCTGATCTCCAGGGTCAGCTGATGAGCGGAGCCGGGGCCGCCATTGAGAGCGCTGTGTTAACCGAGAACGCTCAGGGCAGCGCAGCACTCCTCCCGGGGCAAACGACTACCGCAGCGAACGCCGGGATTCAAGACTCGATAATGACGCAGACCGGAGTTGTGGGTGGAGACTCGATTCAGGATTCGATCCAGGACTCGATAATGGGTGAGGGTGGTCCGGGAGCAGTCGCTGCGGCTGCTCTTCTCGGGCAGGTGGGGGGAGGGAAGACAACGGGGATTCAAGACTCTAGTCAGTTTCTCAACCCTGCTGCCAGTGCCGCCGTTCCCGGGAACTTGATTGGAGGTGGAGGTGGGGCGAGCTCCGGCGGAGGAGGGGAGGGCCCTACGTCCGTGTCTGACATTGCCTCGCAGCTCATCAGCCAGTACGTGGCCAGTTCTCAGGCGGTCCCGGCTCCATTCCAGGCCCCGGCGACTAATGCCGGTATGGAACAGGGACAGGTGGAGAGCATGCAGACTGACGTTGTCCCCCAGCCAGCCGAGACAACCCTCCCATCCTCCCCCCTCCCTTAACACATATTAATTTTTTTCTTTTATTTTTTTTTTATTTATTGTTTTTTTTTTTTAAATAATTTTAAAATAACAAATTTAAAATTAATTTTAAATTATTATTATTATAATTATATAAAAAAGATAATTATATCATAAATCTCAACCAATTTAAAAAAAAAATAACAAAAGGATTTTTTATAAAAATTATTTTTAAATTAATTTTATTTTAATTTTTTTTATATAAAAAATTTTTTTTTAATATTTAATTTTTTTTAAAAAAAATAAAAATTTAAAAAATAATTTAAAAAAATTTTTTTGGAAAATTTTTTTTATATATATTATTTTTTTTATAATTTTAAAACAATAAATAATTTATTTTAAAATTTTTTAATTTTTAAAATATATTAAATATTTATAATATTTTTTATATTTGTTTATTTAATAAATTAAATATTAAAAATTTTAAAATAAATTTTTTTTACCAATTTTTTTTTTTTTTTTTTATAATATATAATTGAAGGGACGACCCCTTTTGTTTCTGAACTCTATGGGGCCCCATAGTTTATGAACTAGAGACTCTTCACTTTTACTAATGGCATCCCTCCTGGCAGTTTATATATACCTATTGTAAACGGACATTAACTGTTGTACCACAGCATGCCACTGTTTACCACTTTTGTTACATGACGTGCATAATCTAGCCTCCAACTATATGTGTACACATTATTATGCGTAATGCATTATTGTGTTTGTCCCCCACATGCCCCTGTATTTTGCCTTCATTTTGAGAGTTAATAAAATGCAAGTGAATTCGACAGTGTAAGGCACCAGGATCTAATTACAACGACAGAGAAAAGTACA